TATGCCCCGCGTTCACCCATGTTTCGTCTAAATAATAAATTTTTCTTCCTTCAGCGCGGAATTGCCTAATTTTTCTAAGGTATTCTCTCCTCCAGATAACAATTTCCTCCTTTTCTATCAATAAACTATTCCTTCCTCTTTTCAAAAATCGAAAGTCTAGTTCTTTCAACAGCTTATGGAACGTAGATCTTTTAAAATTTGGCAGATCCTCATCATCATTCACTTGCTTCAATATTTTATCTATTGTAGGTATTTCATTCCTCAAGAAAAAGTGATGTACTTTTCTTCTAATGGCACTTTTGTCAAAGTCATCTATTTTTTCGATGATTTTTTTTCTCGCTGGATATGTTTTTGGCTCAGATAGTGAGTGATTTTGTCTATATTCCTTCAAGATTTTGTAAACACTTGATCGACCAACTCCAGAAATTTCAGCAACCTTACATACGATATTTTCTATAGCCAATCCACTATTCTCTTGCATCTGGTTCTTGTAGATATTTAGAATAATTTGTTTTTCACCTGCGCTAAGATGAAGCTTTTTAGCCCTTTTTCTGGGTGGCGTTAAGCTGATTTCAACCACTTCATCAGCTGTATCTGTGTCAGACATTTTAGACTAATATTAAATTTCCGCAAGAAAAATCAAGTCAAGACGAGCATAAAACGTTCGCGCTCATAAACGGGTATCCGTAACTGATTACAATCCTGTGCGTGGTGACGAACCATCAACGTGACGCTGAGAGTTCCCTCTACTATGCAGCGTTGCCAGGCTTAATGTCACAATGATCATGTTTTATTGGGAAAATTGTCAGAAATCGCCGAATGTTGAACAAAAATATTACAAGAAGTCTAACCTTGAAATGTGAGGCTACAAATCGATATTCTTATAGGGGGGAAGGGTAGGGAGCTGTTATGGTTCCTATTAACCTTGGTGAAAGTTGGAAACGGTAATATCATATATGGCATACATTCGGTTGAAGGTGTGTGCACGGAAAATAGATTGCGGATAGGATTTTAATGGATAAATCTGCACAAAAAAACACAAAAGGAGATTTTTGTATTTCCCTGAAGAATATCTCAAGGTTATTTCAGATGTACTCATCGAAACTTTATGGAAGGATTATCGAAACCTTATTTTCAATTGCGATAGGGCCACATACTTCGACATCGCATTAATGTGAAAAATAAGACAATAGAAAAAAATTCCCTCACTGATGCTATCTCTTAGGAAAAATTTAACTATAAAGATTGCACAAAAATTTTCTTCACCTTTTTGAGCTTGTTTTCGCATCTCCGTATATGCCGTTCATAATTTGCTGCAGATCAAATTGGAATATACCTTTGTGATGCCATTTATTGTTATATAATGTCCTTTACAACAGTTATTGCACGTATTGCACCAACAGATTGATTTGTGATCCATGCGAATGTGATCAACCACTCTGGCGAAAACTCGCCGAGCGTGGCAACCGTGCGACTTTGTCTGGAGGCTCGTCGCTACATGCCAATCAGGAAGAGGCCGACAGAGCGCCATGGCTACCGATCACGCGTTGATCACGAATCAACCACTGTTTACGATTACTTTGTAGCTTCGTTAGATACACTTTAGTTATTATTATTATCAGTATGCTGCTAGTGGAGATTAGAGATTCAATATCAGTGGGTATGACTATCAGTTCGACATCTGCAAAAATCTCGTGCACAAGTGGAGTCTAGAATTTTTGGCGGTACTTTCACTGATTCCATAGACGCCTATAAGTAATGACGATGAACTTAGTCTAGTCAATGATTGAAGAATCCTAAAGCTAGACATTTTTTTGACGTACTTGCGAAATTGCCTCTCACTCACTTTTTTTCGGCACCAGTCGTACAAATTGATTTATAGATTAGTTAATGTTTTCGTCCGTGATCTCACGACACGTAACTATCCATTACCCTGTAAAACTTGGCTCTCATCTCTAGCCTCCCACTACTAAACTATTATCTCCAGCAAAACCTAATCTAATACATCAATCTTCTTTCTGGTATGTGACTAGATTCCCATTCTGCACTGACGATATTCTTCAACGTGGCGTTTCTTTTTCATCTCCACACATTCACCGTCCTACCTTACATCGTATTCACTTCTGCGGATATAAATGACGCGTCTATCAAGCGACCAGTGGCGCACGTGCAATTATATTTCGAAGGGAATTGAAGAGTTTTCCAATGTTTTGAACGAACAATAATTTCCTAGAGAAAGTAAAATGTATTCCATATCCTAGGGTCATAAAACTAAAGATATTTAACCATGCAGTTCGCTATCATTTTGTTCGATCTAATGGCATCCCGAAGAAGCTTTGCAAACATGTGGTTATTTTTTTTTTTAGATATTCATCGTAGTTGGTGGTTTTGTTTCTTCGTATTGGGATGGCCACGCGAGTGTCCAAGGATGGGTTTCAGGCCAACATAACTGTTATACAGGGTGTCCGCAAAGTTAGGGTTTTCTTTTTCAGAAACAATCACCATTGAAATAACAAAGGTAATGTGTAGTGAAACGAGGGCGACCAAGTAAAAAAAAATAAAGGAAAAAGTACTCACTCTCCAGTTGACGAGAAGGGCTAAGTACGTCTCTGCCCGAAATCATACCGCTCCAACAGAAAATGAAATCAGCTGATGCGCTACCGAGCAGACGCAGGCAAACAAGGAAGGCAAAATGTTGCGTAAAAAGTCTAGGTATTGCATCCCGTCCAATCGATTTGGGAGAATAAATGGTCCAATGAGCATACCGTTCACCATGCCAGCCCAAACATTCACCGAAAATGTTTGTTGAAAATGTGCCCGACGGACAGCGTGCGGATTTTCTACTGACCAAACATGAGTGTTGCGAAAGTTATTCACCCCATTACGCATGAACGTAGATTCGTCTGTCACCAATATGCACTTCAAAAAGTCCGGATTATTGTCATGTTGATGCAACAACCACTCACAAAACCGCACTCTTGCTGGAAAATCGTCAGGTTGAAGGGCTTGTACACGTTGGACGTGAAACGGATACAGCCCCTCTTCACGCAGCGTTTGCCACACTTTAGTTTTTGATACTTGCACTTCGCTAGCCACGTCTCTAGTGCTTGTTGAGGGATTCTCGTCTACGCGATTGCCTCTACACGTGTGACCGTAACCGTCGGTTGAAGGTTGCATACTGACCTGACACACTGACCTCGACCCAGTTCTGTCGTCGGGTTGAGCTAGTGCCCTTGTACCAGTCGGTGATGTCGCGGCTACAGGACGGTATTCAGATATTTTTGATGTTGCAGAGCCCTTTATCTCGGTTCCCTTAAGACATTGGTGTATATGGTACTAAGAAAAATTGCTTATGTTTTCAAGATCTACACGTCGTGTAAAGGAAAACCTCAACTTTGCGGACACCCTGTATTTTAATGACCTCGTTTTCTGCACGATAAAGAAGGGCTGTTTCAGTTGACGCTGCATGTTCGTGTCAAAGTATATCTTCGGTGAAAACCATAACTTCAAGAACGTGCATTGCCATTGGATGTTACAGATCATGAGGACCGTCTTAGTTGTCATACATCGGTAAATCTCAGTAACTGTTTCGAGGATCATCTTGTAAAAACTTTTTCCTAGTCCAAATACTGTGGTGTTTACTGGCCTGCAATATTTGCTATCCCTGTGGTAAGGAAAATACTAGTCAGGTTCTGATGAAAGCTAATATCATCCCAAGAACGAAGAAGCTTTTTAGGATTAGAAAATTATTTTAAGTGGCATCGCATACCGGGTAATCCTCCAAGGTGGCTCACCGCTATAACTTTTTTATTATTGAAAATAGAAAAACGAAATTTGGAGGTTGCCTATTATAGATGAATTTACATGTTTTGACCTATTCGCTTGCTGGACGTACTTCCGGTTTGACTGGAAACGACTCCAACTTTCGTTTTTTAAATGGGACACCGTATATATCTGTACCTATTTCGGGAATGATATACAGTAATGGACAAAAGTATGTAGACAAATTAATATCAAAAATAGAACCTGCGTAGCCCGCGAAAATTCTAAATTTGTGATAATTTTTGAACATACCTCGTAATTTAATCGAAATTTAAATCTTTTAGAAATCATGTACTCCATTAACCGCAGAAAACTGATTTATTTGTCAGTGACACATTTTCAATTGCATCCTGACAAATTCAAATAATGGGACTGCGAGGTCTTTACACTGACCGATTTAAAAGCACCACCTTGTATATCGTTAGTTTGGTGGAAACCTTGAAGTGCCTGCGCTTCTTTTCAACCATCACCGTCCTGCTGCCGTATCCGACCACGTAAGCGCTGCAGTGCGACGAGCTGCGGCACGCTGGTAGCGGCCGAATTGTATGGAATGATGGATGTCGTGGTTTGAAAAAAGAGAGCATCACCATCACAGCTTCTTTGTAGAGGAATAGCGAGCTGCTGCCTTTCAGAAAAGTTTGTAATATAGAAGAGCGCGAAAGAGAGAACCGCAGGATAGGAAATAATGGAGATAGATATCAGTCGAGTTTTGTACAGTATGACGTCTGCAAAGATCAAAGAATTCGAATAGATTAAGAGCAGCTAGCTTACATGTTTACATTACATTGTTATTAGTGCATAATTTTGATTTATTTGCTTACATTTTCTTCTTTGTGAAGAATCGCCTTCCGATCGCATAAACAAATCAAAATTGTCTTCACTTTGGACTTTTCTAAACGGCTTGGATGCTTCCATCCGGCACTTTGACTCTTGGTTTCAGGCTCGTATTGAAAACGCCACGTTTCGTCTCCACTCACAATATTGTACAGAAAGTTTTGTCTTTTTTGACCTCTTTAATGGTGTCTGTCGAATGTTGAATTCGAAGCAATTTTTTGTCATCCGTGAGCTTGTGAACACACGGTGTTGCCATGTTTTATCTAGCAGGCCTTTAACGTATTGGACATTATTTTTGGGACAACCCTCGTATCTTTACATACCATCTACAATATCCTTTTTTTTGTTACAGGCGACCATGGAGTGTCAGCGCCACTGCCGATGCGTCGCAGCACTGGTGGTGGAGCCGGAGGCGGTGCCGGTACTGCAGGAGGCGGAGTCGGGCCGGGGGGCGGAGACCCTTCAGCCACGCCCTCGGCGGGGATCCTATCGCCGCGCGGTAGCGACAACGGCGGCGGCCTGGGCGTTAAAATGGTAGAATATGTGCTGGGTACCTCTCCTACATTAAAGGACGGGTCATCGGCAGCGGCTGCCGCGGCCGCAGCTGGGCTTGAGCCGCGCATGCGTGGACTACATTTGGGCGGAGCTGGGGGAGCGGCCGGTGGGAGTGTGGGCGGATCGCAGGGAGGTTAGTATCCTAGGATTATGCGAAACATGTTAACAATACTTGAGTACACACCAGAAAACGGTGTGCCCATAACTTTATTACAAATTAAAACCAGAACAGAACAGAGAGCTTAGTCAGTATACTTTAGTGCACGTTTCATTGTTACAGGTCCAGACGATAAAGACAGCAAAGACGGCAAACAGAGTCCGAAAGAAGAATGCAACGGTCAGCAATCGCAACAGCAACAACAAGTGGTTCAGAACGGCGGACAGGTCGTCGACGACGACAAGGGTTTCAAGTAAGTCGCTGCTGCACTGAAAACTTTCTAAATCTTATTTGAGGCTGCGAGATGTGTATCGAGTTACCTGTCCGACGTTGTAGAGAATGATACGGGATAAAAGGCGTGCTGTGTTAACCTAGACAACAGGTTTTGAAGTTTTCTTATATGGAATAGAAGTTTTTCCGTTGCGCACGTGTTTTATGTTCAGCTAACGGGGTAGTGAAGTTTGTCGAATTAGATAAGGGAAATTGGAGCTCTAATCGACTTGAGTTTTTTCTGGCTGATAACTAAGTTCATAAACACTGGTTCGTCTCGTAATGGTATTTATGAAAAAAGAAATCTTTAGTTTTGCTGATTTTTAATAATAGCTCAACAAAATATGTTTGAGAAGCTTTTAGATGAAATAAATGTGTTCTTGTTTAATTTCAATGAAATCAGTCCTTGTTTCAATACTGGTCGTAACTTTTTACGCCGATACCGATCCCCATAAAGGAAGACAAAAACTCTGATTCAGTAATCTGGAAATGTACATATATCCTGTGGTTTTTTTGAGTACCGTTGAATAAGAATCGATTACACTGTTCAACACAAAAATCATCCCTATTAAAATATGGCGTGTTTTGTAACATTTGGACTGACGCCCAGATCTTTATGTGTGTGTCGTGTGTGGATAGCAGAAGATAGAGGAACGCGAAGACGGCCAACTGTTCCACCGAGGCGTACCACACAGCGTAAAGCCAGTACGAGACCGTTTTGCTACTTCGGTTTGGAGAAGGTAGACTTGTTACTCGTACACTCTATCGCCATATTCGCACCTTTGCACGGTTAGCGCTTCCTCTGACTGCGGACCACTGCACTGTCGTCAACTTTTGAACTAAAGCAACGGACTGCAACATTGGGAGGCAGAATGGCGTAATGTCATCTTCAGCGACGAATCCGGATTCCGTCTAGTTACGCACGATGGTCGTAGAAGGCGTGCTATTGGATTTGCTGTGGAGAGGCATGTCTCCATATTGCTCGTCGACTCTCTTCAAAAAGCAGGCGTTGATGTTTTGCCGTGGTCACCGTTCACCGGATTTAAATCGACGATGATCGATTGTTTTTTCCGAGTAGTCACGTGACATGAGCGATTCCGGGCGGTCGACGTCGACGCGGTTTTTCCGGTTTTTTTCCGGGTCCGCGAAAAGTTCGGAAGGAAAACGATACCGTTTCGGAAACTAGAAACTCGGCGCTTTACGGACAAGCGAAGGCCGTCGCGATACGAGGAACAAACGCGATCGAAAACGGCCGGTAAAGTCGAAAAAAACGGTACATTTTCGTCCTGTTCGAAAACTGCGCTAGTCGACGATATTAAGCGGTGATCAATTGTTTTTTCCGAGTAGTCACGTGACATGAGCGATTCAGGGCGGTCGACGTCGACGCGGTTTTTCCGGTTTTTTTCCGGGTCCGCGAAAAGTTCGGAAGGAAAACGATACCGTTTCGGAAACTAGAAACTCGGCGCCTTACGGACGAGCGAAGGCCGACGCGATACGAGGAACAAACGCGATCGAAAACGGCCGGTAAAGTCGAAAAAACGGTAGATTTTCGTCCTGTTCGAAAACTGCGCTAGTAGATGATATTAAGCGGTGATCAATTGTTTTTTCCGAGTAGTCACGTGACATGAGCGATTCAGGGCGGTCGACGTCGACGTGGTTTTTCCGGTTTTTTTCCGGGTTCGCGAAAAGTTCGGAAGGAAAACGATACCGTTTCGGAAACTAGAAACTCGGCGCTTTACGGACGAGCGAAGGCCGTCGCGATACGAGGAACAAACGCGATCGAAAACGGCCGGTAAAGTCGAAAAAACGGTAGATTTTCGTCCTGTTCGAAAACTGCGCTAGTCGACGATATTAAGCGGTGATCAATTGTTTTTTCCGAGTAGTCACGTGACATGAGCGATTCAGGGCGGTCGACGTCGACGTGGTTTTTCCGGTTTTTTTCCGGGTTCGCGAAAAGTTCGGAAGGAAAACGATACCGTTTCGGAAACTAGAAACTCGGCGCTTTACGGACGAGCGAAGGCCGTCGCGATACGAGGAACAAACGCGATCGAAAACGGCCGGTAAAGTCGAAAAAACGGTAGATTTTCGTCCTGTTCGAAAACTGCGCTAGTAGATGATATTAAGCGGTGATCAATTGTTTTTTCCGAGTAGTCACGTGACATGAGCGATTCAGGGCGGTCGACGTCGACGTGGTTTTTCCGGTTTTTTTCCGGGTTCGCGAAAAGTTCGGAAGGAAAACGATACCGTTTCGGAAACTAGAAACTCGGCGCTTTACGGACGAGCGAAGGCCGTCGCGATACGAGGAACAAACGCGATCGAAAACGGCCGGTAAAGTCGAAAAAACGGTAGATTTTCGTCCTGTTCGAAAACTGCGCTAGTAGATGATATTAAGCGGTGATCGATTGTTTTTTCCGAGTAGTCACGTGACATGAGCGATTCAGGGCGGTCGACGTCGACGCGGTTTTTCCGGTTTTTTCCGGGTCCGCGAAAAGTTCGGAAGGAAAACGATACCGTTTCGGAAACTAGAAACTCGGCGCTTTACGGACTAGCGAAGGCCGACGCGATACGAGGAACAAACGCGATCGAAAACGGCCGGTAAAGTCGAAAAAACGGTAGATTTTCGTCCTGTTCGAAAACTGCGCTAGTAGATGATATTAAGCGGTGATCGATTGTTTTTTCCGAGTAGTCACGTGACATGAGCGATTCCGGGCGGTCGACGTCGACGCGGTTTTTCCGGTTTTTTCCGGGTTCGCGAAAAGTTCGGAAGGAAAACGATACCGTTTCGGAAACTAGAAACTCGGCGCTTTACGGACGAGCGAAGGCCGTCGCGATACGAGGAACAAACGCGATCGAAAACGGCCGGTAAAGTTGAAAAAACGGTAGATTTTCGTCCTGTTCGAAAACTGCGCTAGTAGATGATATTAAGCGGTGATCAATTGTTTTTTACGAGTAGTCACGTGACATGAGCGATTCCGGGCGGTCGACGTCGACGCGGTTTTTCCGTATTTTGATTTTCGCTCGAGAGTCGCGATTCGGCGGGGTATTGTAGCTATGATGATTACGAAAGCGAGCGGGTGCTAGGGGAACGTCCAAAACGTACCTTTTTCGGCTTTATGACGATCGCTTCATTAAATATTGGATCTGACCGAATAGCATTGTCCTTTTTTACGCGTGAAAATAAACATTTTCGAATAGATTCAGAATTTCTATATTCTATAGTCTAAACGGTACCGGACTATACCTATAATCATAATAACAATCTAGTTTTTTTTATTATTACTTGTCAATGAAATTCCGTGAAAATGTCGTTTCATTCTTGATGCCAAAAAATCAAGTTGAAATCATTTTTTCTGGGTGTAAATATATACAAATGTCAATGGAACTGTTTCGGTCGTGTTAAAGCCTGAATAAAAGCTCCCCCGACTGTAAAAAGGTCGCTAAAAAGTAATCTCATCGCGCCTGCAGTTAAACTATCCCATTATCGCCTCCCCCGTGCATCGAGGGGCGAACGGCTCCTTTTTGCGACCTGCCACTAACATTCGCAGCGGCCCCAAATGCCGAACGACACCGCCCGGACCTGATCCCAGACCCCGAACGATCCAATTACGAATGTCGGGAATTTGGAATCGGATTTAATTAACAGATTTCGCAGGCCTAATGCGATGAAGGTGAAAACGGGGCGGGGTCGATGCTGCTCAACGCTATAGGTGGTGGTATGGCCATGTAGGAAAAACACCTTTACAATGCTTCTATCAATAACGGTAAAACGGTACGACAAGTTATTTCTTTGTCTTCTTAATCATTTTCCCTATAGAAAGTTGAGGATCCTCGCAGGTCTTTCGTCCATGAGTTCCGTGGTCTTGCTAAGGGGAAGGGGTGGCTTCCGGTAATACCAGCTGCAAAACGGCTACAATCAAAGCTGGAGGAGTGTGTGATGTTTCTCCGCAATGCCTTCCGACGCCGAGGATTAAAATAAAAGAATAGAAGATGGACCGGGTAGCACCCAAACCAAAACTACTAAGCGTAAGGTACTATATGAAGAGGTACATTCCACAAACTGGTGTTCGGCACGTAATATTCCAGAATCTGGAGGTTAAACAAATGGCGCTCACACCACAATCTCGGGAGGAAAGAAGATATGTTCGATAGAAAACCAAGTAACGAAGAAAAAACCACATAGTTTTCAACGAAATACTGAATCACTGAGAATAAAGATATAATACGTGTGAAATTATACCATCAATAAATTGTGAAATTTACCAAAAGAAAATCAATGAAAAGGGCTTGGCCTAGGAATGGGCGCTCTACCATTAATAAAGAGAAATCCAAATGACTGTAACTGATCAAAATAGTAAACAAAATGGTTACGTGAATTTGGCACGTGGCAGTCTTCCCGCTGATATTTTACCGACTATCTTGTCCTCTATGATATCAATTTTTGTTGAGTCGCAGTTGCAGGGTGACGTTTCTTCCAGTCAAATCCTGTGTGAGTGGGCTGGTAATAGGCCACGCCCTATTCTGTCTGGATGCGAAGAAAAACAAAATTTCTGGAAAAGTGCCGGTATATTTCCTAACATAGTCTCCTTTAAGCTGAATACAACCTAGTGATGTTCCAACTTCTTTAACCCATCTGAAAAATACGTATGGCAAGGTAGGCCTCCGTGGCGGCAACAACCTCCTCATTCGGGTCAAACTTCTGCGCGGCGAGTGACTTTTCCAAGCTTGGAAACAAATAGAAGTGTCACGGGGTCAAATATGGAGAATAAAATGGAGCAGCAGTTCGTAGCCCAATTCGACCAACTTGGCCATGGCGATGGCGGGAATCGGGCCAATAATTTGGCATAGTCCGTTTTGCCCTTCTCCAGGCGGTCGATGCAGATCAGACCTTGTGAATCCTAGAAAGCGGTGGCCATAACCTTTCCGGTCGATAGAGCAGTCTTCGCCTTCTTCGGAGCTCGTTCGCGGGATAAACTCCAGTGTTTC